TCGATTGCATTACGTTTATGGGACAACCGCGTAGCTTGTGCGACGTATGTTGCACCGCGTAGAGTGCGCCGCGTAGATTCTCCTGTCTGAAAAGAAGACAGACTCTATTCTCCTCGCCTAACCCCCCCCCCCTTCCCCAGGATTATCAGCCGCGATTTGCATGTTGCTCCGCCCCGTTGCCCATCCTAAATTTCGCACCATCCCAGCCCGGGCGGCGTTCCAGCTCATCCGGCGCCGGCCCCCCCCCGCCGCCCCCAACGACAAATATTAAGCGCGCGCTAGGTTCATGAAAAGTCATAAGTACCAAGTGCCCTTTGCAACAAACGGGGCGAAGCGCGCGCGTCGTCGCGCGCGCAGGCCGGAATCTGTTTAAACAAACACTTGTTTTCGCGAGGGTGTCGACGTCGAGTGCCCGAGCGACGTGTAAAAACCGGCGGCTTCGCCATGCGGTTTTTCGAAACAAGTTTCCGCGCGCGCTCTCGCGCGAATTGTCGCGAGAACCGCAGGTTTCTCAAACTTTTGCACAATGCTACCAAGTGGGCTTCGCGCGCGCATGTCAAAATTGCTCGAGCGCCCTCGCTCGCTTGCCGTCGCGGAAACTCTTTGCAAATAATGAGGCGAAGTTCGCCCGAGCGTCGTCGCGCGCGCGCGCCGATATCTGTCAACAACCTTAGGTTCTGCAAGGATTTCAAGATCGAGCGTCTATGGAACATCTAGACGCGAGGTTTTGCAATGGCAGTTTTTCAAAATCGCGTGCGCTCGCGCTCCTGCGAATTCTGCAGACAACTGTAGTTTTGTCAGCATGTGCATGGAATTCTGCCGAACCGGCTTCTGGCGCCGCATGCCGAAATCATTCGCGTGCCTTGGCGCGCGCGCTGGCGGGCACGACCCGTGTGAAATAACACCGCGCGGGCCACTCTCGCGCGTCGAACTTTCTCCAAAGCCCTCGTCGCCGACGCGAGGGCGCCGTCATCGTCGTCGGCGTGGTCAGCATCGGCGCCCTCGCTGGCCGCGCCGTCGTTGTTGTCGACGTCGTCGCCGGCATCGCTGCTATCATCGTCGCGTCTACCTTTGTCGACGTTGCCATGATGTCGCGCCCGCCCAAACCGCCGACTCGCGTTGGAGCGCCCGTTGGGATGCGCCCAGCTGTCTGCGCCTCCGCGGCCGCGTCGCTCGCGCCAAATCAGCTGGTCGCTGCGCGCGCGTGCTTGGGCTGGGTCGGCTGCAGAGATGCACCAGCCAAGTCCGAGCACTCATCTCAATCGCCGCCGCGTGGGTCTTGCAAACCAAGTTGCGGGTGGGTGGGTGGGATATTTGCAAGGGCGTGGAATGCGTCGATTCGTTTGCAGGACAATTGCACCACGTAGATTCTCTTCTCAAAATAGAGAATTGACCCCACCACCCTCCCGAGGCTGGACTTATCGGCGCCCCCTGGGGGCGTGCAGTTCACGCGTGATTCTGCCCCGCCCCCCGACCTTCATCTGAACTCGCGCCGCCCCAACCCAGGCGATGTCCGCCCCCCCCCCCCCCCCCCCCCCGCCATCCTCTGCGCAATGCTATGTGCGCGCGCTCGTTATTTCAAACCATCAATTGTCGAGAACCTTTTGCAGCGCATGGGGCGGATTGCGCGCGCGTTGTCGTTTCAAGAGCGAGCGCCAACAAACACTTGAAAATGCGGGGCTTCGCAGCGCGAATTTTTTAACAGTTTGCGCGCCCTTGCGAATCCCAAAGAAAGCCTTCTTATGGATTGTTGTCTTGCGCGCCTTGCGGCAAATGCTGCCGCGCGGGCTTTGCGCGCGCATGTCGAATTCGCTCGAACGCCCTTGCGCGCGCCCCGCCGCGAGAATCCTTTGCAACGAGTGTTGTGAAGTGCAAGCGCTCGCGTCGCCGCGCGCGCATGCCGAAATCCGTCAAGCGCCGTCGGATTGGCAGCGGCTTCAAGACCGAATGTCCAACGCGCAAACGCAACGCATGGTCTCGCAACATCAGCTTCCAAAAAACCCTACGCTCGCGTTCGAAATGTTCATGGCATTCTTCCAAGCGGGCCTTTTGCGCCGCGTGCCGGATTCATTCGATCGCCTTTGCGCGCGTGCTTGGGGGCACGATCGGTGTTTAATGGGGCCATGCGGCCACTGTCGCGCGTCGGCCGCGCGCGCGTGTCGAACTCCTTCCAAAACCTTCCTCGCCGACGCGGGGGCGCCGTCGTCGTCGTCGGCGTGATCAGCATCGGCGCCGTCATTGGCCTTGTCGTCGTCGTTGTCAACATCGTCACCATCGCTACTAGCATCATCGTGTCTACCGTCGTCGGTGTCGCCATGATTCCGCGCCCGCCCAAGTCACCGACTCGCATTGAAGTGCCCGCTGGAAAGTGCCAAACGCTCGGCGCCACCGCGGCCGCGTCGGTCGCGCCAAACTAGTTGGCCGCTGCGCGCGCGGGCATGCGCGGGGTAGCGCGGCCGCAGAGATGCACCAGCCAACACCAAACACTAATCGCACTCGCCCCCGCATGGGTTCTGCAAACCAAGCTGCGGGTGGGTGGGTGGGGTGATCGCGCGCGTGGTGGAATCGACAACTTCACCTTCGGCAGCGTGAATTGCACCGCGTAGGTTGCGCGTCGTAGGTTGCCCCACGTAGATTCCATCACATCGGTTGCGTGATTCTTGTTTCCCGCCTGGGCCGCGACTTTGGTCGATCGCGACATGGGAAACAACATGTTCCGTGGGCGTTTGGGGGGTTGGAAGTGGACCCCGCCCACCCCCTTGATTGAAGGGGGGGGGGGTCGAACCCCTCTCGTTCTCCCGTGGCGGAGCGGGGAGGGGGGGTTCGACCCCCCCCTTCTCCTCTCTCCCTCTCTTCGGGCCGGCGCTGGCGTCGGCGGCGGCTGGCGGCGGCGGCGCGGGCGTCTCTCGGGGCCTGTCTGAGGTGGTGGTGGTTGTGGGTTGTGGTAGTGGTGGTGGTGGTGGTTGTGGTGGTGGTGGTGGAGGTGGTGGTGGTAATGGTGGTATGGTGGTTGTTGTTGTTGGTGGTGGTGGTTGTGGTGGTGGTGGTGGTTGTGGTGGTGTGGTGGTTTGTGGTGGTGGTGGTGGTAGTTGTGGTGACGGTGGTGGTGGCGGTGATGGTGTGATGGTTTGTCGTGGTGGTTGTGGCGGTGGTGGTTGTGGTGCGACGTGGGTTGTAATGGGGGTGGTGGTGGTGACGGTGGTGGTGGTTGTGGTGGTGGTGGTTTTGTTGTGGTGGTAGTTGTGGTGGTGGGCGGTGGTGGTGGTGGTTATGGTGGTGGTGGTGGCGATGGTGGTGGTGTGGTGGTTGGTGGTGGTGTTGGTGATGGGTTGTGGTGGTGGTGGTGGTGATTGCGGTGGTGGTGGTGGTGGTTGTTGTGGTGTGGTGGTTTGTTGTGGTGGTGGTGGTGGTTGTGGTGGCGGTGGTGGCAGGTTGCGGTGATGGTGGAGGGTGTGCTTGTGGCGGTGGTTGTGGTGGTGTTGGTGTGTTGCTTGGTGGTGGTGGTGGGGTGGTGGGGTGGTTGTGTGGTGGTGGTGTGTGTGTGGTTGTGTGGTGGTGGTGGTGGTTGTGGGTTGTGGTGGCGATAGTGGTGGTGGCGGTGGTGGTGGTGATTGTTGTGGTGGTGGTGGCGTGGTGGTTTGTGGTGGTGGTGCTTGTGCTTGTGCTGGTGCTGGCGGTGGTGCTGGTGGTGGTGGGTGGTGGTGGGTTGTGGTGGTGGTGGTGGTGGTTGTGGTTGTGGTGGTGGTGTGGTGGTGCGTGGTGGTAGTGGTGGTGGGTTGTGATGCTGGTTGTGGTGGTGTGGTGGTTTGGCGTGGTGGTTGTGGTGGTGGTGGTGGTTGTGGCGCGAGGTCGGTTGTGGTGGTGGTGGTGATGGTTGCGGTGGCGGTGGTTGTGGTGGTGGTGGTGGTGGTGGTGTGGTGATTTATGGTGGAGGTTGTGGTTGGTTCTGGTGGGTTGTGGTTGTGGTGGTGGTGTAGGATGTGGTGGTGTTGGTGGTGTAGTGGTTTGTGGTGGTGGTGATGGTTGTGGTGGTTGTGCTGGTGCTTGTGGCGGTGGTTGTGGTGGTGGTGGTGCGGTTGTTTGTGGTGGATGTGGGGTTGGTGGTGGTGATGTGGCCTTCGGGTCTTCCCGCCACCGTGTCTTGGCTTTGGGTCACAGTTCTAATGTATGCCTCGTCGGGTCTCGTCAGAGGGGTCTCGGGGGCGTCTGGGGAGCATGTGTGAGGGCTCCTGGGCGCCTTTTGGGCGCCTCCTGGAACTGGGGAGCGAGGGCTCGAAATGGCGATTTGTATTTTCTCGCTACGGCTTCTGGGCTCTCTCTGGTCATCGTCGCTGCGTTTTACCGTTGGTGCTGCCGGCCGCCGCCAGCGCAGGCGCCAGCATTGGCACCAAGGGATGAGAGGGGGGGTTCGAACCCCCTCCCCCCCGGGAAGCCGGAAGAGAAAATATTGGGGGAGTTTGAATCCCTACTCCTTTCCCAGGGGGGTCGGCGGGTTTGGGGTCCAGGGGGGTTAGAGGTTAGGGGGGAGGGGAGTCTCCATGGTTCTGATCGACGGCGCCGAAGTGTTGGGCCCCCCCCCGGTTCGAAACGCGCCGCCGAATGTTCCCAAGGCACGCGCCCGTGAAACGCGTTCTCTCCAACATATACTGCGCTACGTGTATTACACAAATTTGATTGCACCACATGAATTGCGTAACCTCTCTATTGCACAGCACTGTTGGCACCACATCGGTTGCACTACACATCTTGCACCGCCTAGATGTTACCAATGATATAGCACGACGCAGATCTTGCCCAACAACGAGCTATACATACACTGTATGGGGTCCACGTTGGCTAACATTGTTTGTTTGTTTTTGTGTGTTTGTTTGTTTGATTACGTGTGTATATACATATTTGTGTATTTGTATGTGTGTATATATACACATATATATATATATATATGTGTGTATGTATGTCTTTGTTTGTTTCGGGTGGGCGTCCCACGCGGCACGCGCCAG